TTTATTGTTGATAAAAATATCTCAAGGATTTTATGATTTAATATTTAATTGATTTATCATATAGATACATATATGCAAATTATATATTTGGAAAAAACAATATTAAAAAGTCAGGAAGTTTTTTTCATTGAGTCTGCTAGACATCCTGAAATAGAACGAATCAATTTTCTTTCGCGCGAGAGAAATATTCCTATCGTTGTTTCTCGGTTAACGGATGATTAAAACGCGAAAGACATAGACTATATGTACATAAAATGCCTTAAAATAGTGTCCCATTTTAATATTTTTACAAATCGATCTTTCAATCAATTTGGGAGGAGTCAATCGCACGATGAAAGTATCATCAATTAGATTCATTTCTTGCTTTAATCTTTTTTTCAATATTTATTGATGTATCACTTTCATGTGTTATCAATAAGTCATAGTCATTTAATTTAAGATATTGAATTTACTTGATTCATTGTGTGACAAAAGAATGATGAATACGAACGTGAGATAAATCATCCCGCGAAAGCTGATTCCATGAAACAGAAAACTATATTTTAGCTCGTGCCATTTGTAATGTCAACCACGTGTTGTCACTCGCATTTGTAAAGCCATAAACGTAGATAATGACGCCTCGATCACGCGATGCATCGGTAATCAGCTGTTGAGGCGTCTGAATGGAAATTTTCGATTCGCCGATTGTAAACGTCATACAATGAGGCGCTTACATTATTATTAATTTCGTGGAAACGCGAAATCCTACTTCAATAAATTTTACTTTTTACTTTTCTGAGCTCAAACAAAGGTGATTGATATCAGTGTATACTGAATCAATAAGTTCCACCGGTATGATATATATATATTGCATTCGATTAGATTGTCAACTGCATAATTAAACTGAGCAGTGGAAATGTCATTTCATCGATGTTTGCGTTGCGAGCCTCGTACAATTTAATTATAACTACATTTTTTCTTTAGTTTTTTTAAAATTACATAAATTTATAAGCATCCAGTTTCTCAGTTTCGAAAACACGATTATATTATTCGTCACTATTGGAAGTCGAAATATTCAAAGAAAGAGAGAGAGAAAGGAGTAGAAAGAGACGGGGATCGAAATTGGGGGCAGACGTTCTTAAAAAAGATTACGCGCAAGACTAAAATAGCATTATTTCGTTTCAATACCGCACGCATGCTAAAATAGCATCTATTTCTTTGATGATGATGGTCAATACCGTTGATGCATCGTCGTAAAATAGATATTGAGCTGTATAGAACACGTTGCACAAGCTTCATTTTCCTTTTCCTTATACATGTTATGTAATGTATGAATAATTAAAACGAGCATTCCTAATTTGGCTGATAATTTGGAGACAATTTACACCAGCATGTTCATTATCTGAATATTCGAAGCTGGCGTTAATTACGCCATTTACGTTGCAATTGTTTGCATCGGCGCGTAATTGTTTGGCTGATGATGTGAAAACAATTAGAGCGCTGAATAGATACTAAGCCTGAGGTTTCAAGCTGTGACAAGAGTAATTATGTCCTGCATAATAGTATATTTCTACAAATAAGAAGTTGTATCCTTTTCCGTTCTTTATTCTATAAATTATGCGTAATTCATCGCTTCTCAAAGACACATGATAAAATCGAGGATGAGCAGATTTAAATGTCATAGGAGAGGAAATTGCAAGCCGTATTATAAATTGCTTAGACGCGAGTTTTTCCGAAGTGGTTTAACATCAAAGAGAATTCTCATTAGAGAAATGGAGAGAATTGATTTTCCAGGCTTGACGATCTACTTGCGAATCCGCTGTTGCGGAAGAGAATCTTTTCAAATTCGCATTTCCAAATCACGATGCAAAGATATAATCGAGAGATATTAACTCTCCAATTTCTTGAAATATTGCGCGCAACACGAACTTGTTAACGACGCGGTTATTCCCGTAAAACAGTTCTTGCGATCTTACCTCATTCCAGGATATTCTGATATTCGCGTGAACGCGAAACCTCGAAACGGCAATAATTATTCGCTCCATGAAAAACTTACTCGCGCGAGTACGAATGCATTCGTTACGAGAGGAAATGAATATGCCAAAATATAATGCGTGAAGGCCGCGTTATTTCGTGACTTAAATAGCGTAACGGAATAAGCAAAAAATGTAACATTTCTGTGCATCGTGACAAATTTTTAATTCTAGCTTCTCGTTTTATTCGATAAGAATATAATTTGGAAATAAAAATGGCCTAGAAATAAAAATAATAATTTATAAATAATTTGAGTGTTTAGTTAAGCTACGCGGAGAGAATTTTCTTCTAGAATTGATTTTGAAAATCATAATCGTGGATCAATATATGATATTGGAAGAATTTTATAAGTTTCTCTAATTAATATTTACCACAATAAAAATTATGTACATAATAAAATTAGTCGAGCATATTTTATATCTTATTGTGGCAGATATTAATAATTTTCATTGTGGTAAATATTAATTAGAGAAACTCATAACTTTTTTCCAATATACCATATTGTTCCACGATTACTATGATTTAAATGTTAAGAGAAAATTCTCTCTGTGATACAAATTAATATTTTAATATGTTTTCGATTTATAACGATTATATATATATATTTCTCCGTAAATAAATATTAAAGGTTCGATTTTCACGCTGTTATAACACTTAGCTTTTCAATTTATGCTTACCGTGATATCACTTGTGATTGACGCGGTTTTAACATGCATATGCAAATGTGTGTATGTATCACGTGTATGGATATATGTCATGCGTGACTCTTCCTCTTGCTAGATCAAAAAATCGAGTTCTATGCACGTATGTGACACGCAACGTACTTAAGAGAGAAGATCCTTTTAGCGCTCTTCTTGGAGCTTCTCTAACACTACTCGTTATTAAGAACGCCGATGCTAATCGCGTCTAACGTGTGGGAAAGTTGCATTTAGCACGCGTGGGTCGCGAAACCGCATCGAGTTTTCTCGCTTCAGAAAACCCCCGGTCTCTTAACATAATCGCAGCTATAATAGGTCGACGGGATAATCCGGGAGAATCTTTGGAAAAATCTCCGCTCGCATCGCCGCGAAAGACTTTTCCTCCGCATCTCGATATATCGATCGCGAATAAACTATTTTCGTCCCCTATAACAAATTAACCGGTTAACATATTTTAATTTTTTTAATATTTTTACCGCGCTTTCGCGACGTTTTAAATTATGATGAGGAAATTAAATTAATACTTAACAAAAAAAATCGATGGTAAATAATATTATTTTTATTCTTATATGCGTTATATAAAAATTGTACGTAAAATGACGTGCACACACGTAAGTGTTGCGCGAAGCAGTGGACTTTAGATCGGGACCTAAAAGTTCACATTGCGAGCTCATCAACCTTTCGAACTCGCCGCATACTTGCACGAGGTCAAGCGTCGCCCGGTCACGAGATACGAGAGGGATAACGACGTAACGCGATCGTGTAATGTATCGTTCCGGCATATTCATAAATTTCATAAGCATGCACCTTCCACCTCCTGTGCCACCCTTGCCCAAGAGCTCAACAATACATACGTAGATCTAATCACGTGCGCGCGCCGATACTACTTTCGCCGGGGCCCCTCATAACTATGCATTTGAGTGCAAAAGACCGCAAAAGCATAATTATCGACTGGTTTCACGGAAACGCCCGCGTTAATCGTACCCGTAAAGTACCGTTACAATCGGTATGACTCACCGTCCGAACACACTGAGCGTGGCAACTCTATTATGCAACCGAAAAAGTTCATACAATTTTCTGACAAGTATATAATTTTTTAATTTAAATTTTTTCACCAGTGCGTGTTTCTCTTCATTTTTTAAAATTATATATTTATATATTTATAATTTTCAGAATTTTTTTATTAGTATGATTTTTAATTTTTTTAATTATATTTTTTATTTATTTAACAAGATAGAACTCTACAATTTTTAAGATGCTTAATTACTGGCGTGTTTTCGTTTATATTCAACATTATGTAATATTTTTCTTTTCCTCTTTTTTTCTCTGAAAAGGTCGAAAGATTCAAGCACGCTGCTTAATGCTTTTAAAATGCAGAAATTATCTCTGATATTCGTTAATGAAATGCAATAACAAAGATGTAAATTCGATTACATCTTTTTGCTTTTTTATCTCACGTTTTATTCGGCGAGAAAAAGTAAATGCGTACATCTGCAGTCGCTTATGTAATTTAGTTAGCTTAAGTGATAGAGCGTACTTTCACGAGGAATAATCATAAATTAATTTATTGGGAACATCGAGTGCATTTTCATAGCGCTGAAGCAAAGAAAGTAATAACGAGAAAGTATCTCGCGAGAAACCTTTAATTTACGTCTCTCGTTTCTTTTGTGTTTTTCATCCATTGTTTATTTCTCTCCCGTAAAGACAAAAGTCTATTGTTTGTAAATGAATAGACTAAAAATTTGACAGACACATTCACGTTGCGAATGTTTCTTGATAATCTAAAACTTGACGTTTTATACACATATATGTATATTATTTATTTCTCTTTCTTTCTCTTGTCAAATCAAAATTAAGTTTTCAATCGTTAATATAATTTATTATTTTAAAAAATTCGCGAAGAAAAGTAATGAGATAAAATTGCATCGAATAATTGATATTAAATTATATAACACAAAAATGACATAAAATTGCGCAGCAATTATAATTGTCTGTATGCACTTTAATTGCACGCCTCTTTAATGACATACCACACTCATTAGCTAAGTTAGTGCTGCCATCTGCTGGCAAACAGCATTGCCATAAGCGGCGAAGCCTATCATCAGTATTTTGCTTGTCATTAAAAGAGCATGAGCCTCGATGGAATTTTTCTCTCTTAAGAGATCGCCATATGAATTATACGATTAATTATTAACAGAAGTACAAGGTACAAAAAATTAACATTTTTTAAAATATTTTTTGCGAATTTTTATATTTGTTGCAATTATATTTTTGTATTCCTTTAAAAAAAACGATGTATTATTGGCACTTTTATTCAACTCCCTGTTCTCTCTCATGATTCACTCGGCGATGCAAACTCGATACCCGACCCGAGCGAAGATAATCGCGCCGCGTGAAACCCTTTGGACGCGTCGGAATGTAAAACTCGTTTGCCGTACGCGAACGGAAGTCGGAAAGGAGGAGGCAGCACCGGCCGAAGAAGGATCTCACGCGATCCTTTGTAAGGCGAACCATATCGCGCGTTAATTGTTCCCACGATTCGATAACCGCTTGATTTCTGAGTGATATCATCGGCGTGTCGCTGCTGACAATGACTGCAAAAAAAGATTCATTAATCGCTCAAAAGCTCAATTACCACGACGTGATTCTCAGCTACGTAATACTTTAATGAACCTACATATGTCTCCTGAAATCTCTCATGATCTCTTCTTATATTATGTGTACATGTAGTCTGTGAAATAACCCATATCTCGAATAGAATAAATCGAATATGATTCTGGTCCGAGTCGAATTCTAAACCATGTTAATGCGATTGTAGCTCTTTCAATTACATCTTCAATCCCTCCTCGAACTTACGTCTCTTTTGAAGTAAACCACTTGTACGAGGAACAGTTATGCACCGTTTATACCTGCGTATCGTTCCATGCTTTTGCTCCGTCACTTGTCGTATACAGTTTCGTAAGATCTCCTTGGTTCTATAGACTGATCCAGGAGATTGTAGAAACGAGAGATAGAGAAGAGGTTCGTCGACGTTAACGCTTCGCCTGCAATCTGCCGAGCGGATCATTATTAAAGGAATTGAGTTCAGCTCGAAGAACGTGAATAGATCTACGTGCAAGGAATACACTTGCTATATATACACACCTATAAATGCATGGGAGCGTACCTGTGTATCTAAAACTTGTATTTCTATCTTATCTACATTTTCTTATCTTATTTACATTTTTACATTTTTATTCTTTACCTCGGGGTTTTTTTTACACGTTTGTGTGTATACACATTTTTCGCTAGATATAACATCCAGATTTGTAATATTTTCCCGCTGAAAGATAGGGTTGATTTGGGGGGAGAAAACTGCAGTTGTTTCTGTCGCGTCGTCTCTCTTTGAAAAGCGATATCGATGATTGGAAAAACACGCGAGTTTCGCGCTCCAATTATTTCGGCCTTAGTCACCGCTCGAAGTCACGGTGGCCCCGATAAAACCACTTACAATAGCAAGAACACCGCTATGAATTTCATATTTGCCGACGATAAGCCAAGCAATTAATTCTCGCGAATAAACGTAACATTCGGAATAATTCAAAATTCAAATATAAAACGAAGCTAACAAACTATAGACGCGATCGAGAGCTTCAAACGTTTTCTTCGCGTTACCTGTTTGTACAAAAATCCACTGCGCCTTTCGACAGTTTCTGCTCTAAAAGGGAATCTCTTGAGTAAATATATTTATCGAAAAAAATTTATATGAAAAATAAAATAATAAATGTAAGAGTCGATTTTTCCAACTTTTTGGTAAGTTTTACCCGGATAAATTCTAAAAAAGAGACGAAGATATGTTATCTGTCGACTGAAACTTAGCAAGAAATTGAAACAACCGGTCCTAAATAAGGAAAAATAACATAGATATTGCTGGCGATCGTTCATGCTAGAAAAAAATTTATCTCCGCGCGAATCGAGGATATTAGCCTCTCTCTCTGCGTTCTGAACCTTCCTCGAGATCCTCGAGATGAAAGAAACTAATCAACGCGCATATCACGGGTGGTCCATCGCGGTGGAAAAAGCAATAAAAAGCGAGGACGGTTGATAATCCTTGTGTAACCGTACGGCTTCCGCCGTGTTCTCCCTCGTTCTCTCTGCCTTTTCCACGGTTCAGCGAATTCTAAGTTGCCAGCTTCCTGGCGAATCTTATCGTATATTTACCCGCAAAATCGCCGCCCGTCAAGAGGAAACGCTAGGCGCGCCCTTTCCTCTAATCAGCTTCCAAAAAAATGCGGTTGAATTAGCTTCTGGATTTTACTTGATAAAAGACGGAATGTTATAAATTAATCTTCATCTCATCTCGTTGTCCCGAGATGAAGCATCGTATATCACTGACACATAATGCCGATTAAAAAAAGTCAATTAATTTTTTATTAATTTTTACAGTTACTTTTTTTACATTTATTTATATCTGCGAATCTTTATATGCTCGAAGGAATCGCTGATCTTCGAATCGTAAAGTCGAGGAGAGAAACGTTATTTCTTTCTTCGTACTTTTCTAAGCGTAACGACAGAGATCCATCAGAATAGTTATACCTCCTTGCGTTTCAACGGTTTCTGAATCTAAGATCGATTCGTCCCGCGTCCATTTATGATCCATTTTGTCGAACTTTTATCGAGGTTACTGATCGGCAAAAACGATCTTATTGTTAAAAAATTTACGCGCTAATATATATAACGTTCAAACGAGCAATAGCTTCGCGCAAGAGGAATTCAAGAAAAGGGCGTATCTATACTTTTAATTTATCGTTTAATAATTAAGGGCAGTATACACATTTCGCTGCGTAAAAATCGATATACCTGCTTTCTCGAGGTTTTAATTTATCTCGAGAATATTTACCTCGATATTTACGCGCGAATGCTTGAAGACAATTTAATTTGTAATGGAAGACATTAAAATCGGCCGATAAAGCAGCTGTGCGACGTAACAATAACGTGAAAAAATACGAGCGACCTATGTCGTAATTATTATTTAATAATTTTTTAACAATTCTGCCCCGTTATCCGGGGATCGGCGATTCGTTTCGCGATCGGCTCCCGTTCCGAACGATCGATTCCAGAGCGGAGGAGTACGAAGGTCGCAGATCGCGCAACTGCTGCCGGAACCCAAAGAGGTTCCCAGCTCGCGGCGATCAGTCTTCCGCCAGACTTCGGGCCCGAGGTCAGCCAGTAAGTGTCGGCCGATCTCCTTCGCAGGAGGAGACTTACTTAGGCACGAGGGAAACGATCCCGAGCGAATCTCGATCCGCTTTTCGACTCCTTTACACGCGATCGTTGCAGCTTGTTGAGTCGCAAATTGCAACAACATCGGGCTGCGAACTGAAAAATCGAATGCGCGCGAAGTGATCAATTTTTCGCACGAGAGATCATCACGAGAATGTAGTCTCGCGTGGAGTTTTCTCTTTTACTTTTCCTCGCATACGTGCGGATTTGCAAGTTGCAGCGTTGCATGTCGACGAATCTGTGATTTGGTCGTGATGGGGTTTTTTTATATGCGATATTAAATTTCCAAGAGCCAGAACTTGGATTATAATGCGAGGTAAAATTTAAAATTGCATTTATAAATAATAATACTGATATTTGTATTTCTCAAAGCGAGTCTATGAGAATTGATTAAAACGATGAGTCAATACATCATAAATATCGCGAGACGTAGTCATATCAGTGTCGAGATAACACTTATACGTATCTAGAAGTATCAACTTTACACTTAAAATATATTAAGACAAAATTAGTTTAACTTATTACTTAATCATTATAACTTTTTATATCGAAAAATACATTTTATTGTGATGCAATTATATAAAACTAACATTTTAACATTTTTTCGTTTAAAAAAAATTGTACTCTTAAAATATATCTTTAAAATATTTATGAAACGCTCTAAAAAATATATTGTGCATTTTCTTTGAATTTTCTTCAAATATCATTCATTCCAGACTGATTTATTATCCTGGAGAAATTTTAAGAAGTAATATATTTTTGTTTTCTATTAAAAGATAAGTTATAAAAAAGGAGTGAAGGTATGCGCGACCTATTTTGTAAAACTTACCAAGAAGTTGAAACAGTAGTTTTCTGTTTGATTAAAAACCGATGTCTGGCGATAACAAAACACAGAGATAATTTTCTTTTAAGATTTACCTGAAAATCATGGTAATTGTAGGACAACCAGGTATTGGAAGAATTTTGTAAGAGTTTCTCCGATTAATATGTTTTGTTGTGCTAAATATCAATCAAAGGAATTCTTATAAAATTCTTCCAATACCATATTGTCTCACGATTCAGAAAATTCTCTCCGTGTACAATATAAATTTACAACATTCAGGTATGAAAAGAGCTAGTCAAACACAGATATCAGGTGCAACAGAATGATTCCTCTATACTTACATACAGGAGTATTATATAAATGATACAAAATGATTGAAAATAATTCTGTTACAACCTAATATCTATCCCCTTTTCATCAGTATTTACATATTATCAGAAACCTTTCTTGATTTCTAAATTCAATGAATGTAATTTAGAATTTTTGCCAATTAAATCGGGCGGCGTCGACGGCACGCACGGCACTGCTATCGGCACTTACACTATCGGGGCTCGTCGTATGTACGGTAGTAGGCAGTAGGCGCTCCGAACGGCTGGCTGGTTGCTTCGTGAGTCACGGAACCGCCTGGTCGCTTTCGCCGGTCGCCGGCGCCGCAGTCGGAGCAGCAGTCCGATCGTGTCGTCGTCGTCGTCGGCCGCGAGAACCCGCTTTCGTATCTCTTGAAGACCGGATGGTTGGTGCGCGGTCGAGAACCAACCGAACCGAGTCGAACCGAGACGAACCGAACGTCAAGAACGCGCGCCGCATCTCTTGTCAGTGCGTCATACCGCGTGTCACGAGTGCTCCGATCTGTCTTCGTCTCTGTCTTTCTCTCTCCTCCCGCGTTTTTCGGCACCAGACTCATCCGCGAGTCCCTTGGGTCCGTGGACCCTCGCGAAGACCTGCGATCACGCCCGAAGTTCTTTATCAGCGGGAGAGCGATAATGTGATTGTGGCATAGAAGCTCTCTCTCTCTCTCTCTCGACGAAGGTAATATCGAGAAAAGTGCTCTGTGGGCGTCGTTCCTCTCTCGCGAGAGCAAGTTTCCTCGAGAGTTCTTCGAAATTTTCTTCTCTCCTCAGGACGGTTATTGCAGTAAGTTGTGATAATGTTAGTGACGGTGTTTGGGCGGCCTCGTTAAGCTGTGCTTCCGCAATGTGTATGATTTGTGCACGACGGACGTAGGAGAGATGGAGAGAATTTATGTAATTACAATGAGATAAATTCCCTTTAACTAACCACGTATAAAGTACTACGCCTACATGTATAACATAGAAAAATTGTAACAGAATTTTATATTTCATCCAATTTCGTAACATCACGCGACAAGAATGTCTGGAATATGCAGGAAAAAATTGAATTAGCGGAGATTCTTGCTAATGTAGCAAGCAAACGTGTCCTTAGCAAGGTTAGCTTCACGCGGGAGATTCCGCGAGTGTCGACCTCGTCGAGTCTTGAGCCAACAAGAGAAGAATAAACAAATTCGCGCGATTTTACGACGTTACATCACGCGTATCGTGTTCAGACGCACACAAGTGGAATTCACTTCACCATAATGGCTCGCGATACACAAAACGGGCTCACCTATTATACGAACGATCTGAATGATAATTCCGCATTGTTTCCAAAAAAAAAAGGATCCACGGGCGCGTTGTGTGCGATTTTCGCGAAACGAATTTAATTTCACGGTACGGCGGTGTTAATCCCGCTTAATTTGCATTACAAATCATATTTGCAATAGTAATCCGCGCATCATGTACATTTCGTATCATTGTGGAATTATACACATTATCTCGTTTTTTTTTTATTTTTGAAAAACGAAAATACATGAAAAAAACGCTTCAAAAATTTTTGCAATTTTAACAAGTCAGAGAAAATGTTTCGCGTTTATTAGAGTTACTCTAATGATTTTAAGTCTCTCCTCTACAGATAAGATAATCTTTTCTTGCTTTTTTCTCTTTCTTTTTTTT